GTTGTTTAAATTCCAGAATCTTGTATTCCCTTGCAGGATTGCAGTTGAGTGGGTCTGGGATGGGACCACGGAATCTGTATCATATTACCACCTCCACCATCATCATCATCAAGTCAGTTCCCCAGCTGAACACACTTGGATAAACCCCGATTGAGAGGCATGGTTTACCTCTCTAACTTGCTTATATGTCAAAGCAGAGTGAAGTCAACTGTGGTCATCCTCCCAGGGTCCAGCCTAGTGCTGAGCTCCCAGGGGGCACTCTTCACATCTATTGGAGGTTAGAGGCAATGTGCGGTGTATCCTTTTATAAAGAACCCTTCACAGTGTGAAGAGTTGCCTACTAACTGATCTCCATAGCTATGTTTGCAGTCTTAACTGTTGAATTTTTTTTTAAAGCAGAGGCATGTCTCTTTCAGGATTATAATGACAAAACAATAGCATCCTGAGAAGAAGAACTGAATAGGGGTAATTATTTTTGAAGGAAGCTGAGCCACACCTCCTTCCCTGAATGTTGTTTTGATAAAGGTGTCTGAAGTTACACCATTTATTAGTGCTTCTCAGCCTCAGTTACTCATTGGAAACATCTGGGAACTTGGAAGGTATGGATGCTTGGGTCCCACCCACTGAGGCCCACCCTCTGATCCCACCCACTGAATCTGGGCATCAGGATTTGTAAAAAGTTCTCTAGTGATTCTGACATGCGACCAGGGCTGCAAACCACTGACTTAGAACGTGTGGAGCCCCCTGGAGGGGGTGGGAGGGTGATTCATTTCTTGAGTCTTACAGGGAGTCCCATGGGACTCCAAAGATGGAAAGTCCTCTGATTTGTGATCTAAGACTGCTCTGAAATGTATCTGAAATACATTTCATATAAATATACATACATATATAATGACCCAAATTATATATAGTAGTTAATTGTTTTCTACCCCTTTAATAAAAACATTTTTTTTTTTCTGATTATAAGTATGGCATGTGCTTATCCAACTGTTGGGTTTAAGTAGCAAAGTATAAAAATGTCTGATAATCTCCCCAAATGCCAGCACATGGAAGAAATAACTGTTAACATATCTGGTACACCTCCTCTCTGTTTCTCTGCGGCTGAATACACACGCAGTCTAGACATACAATTTGACATCAGTGGAATTAATGATACATACTGGTCTGTGTGTTATACCCAGCATGACTTTTGGTAAATCTACATAATAACTTCCCTTAAATCTCATAATCATTTTTATGAGCTCTTACGAATTCAAACTTTAATTGCACCTGATAAATGGAATATCTACTTCATTATTGAAGCTTGCTGGATTTTTTAAAAATAGAAAGCAAAAAACAGTGTAGGAAGGCCCCTCTGCTGGCCAAGAAGCCCTTGTGTGTCTGAGCTGGTCAGCATTGTGCTGGAGGACTGTTGAACATCTTGGATTGGTTTGTGGGCTGGAAACAGAGGGGCTTAGCAAGCTTGGCCACAGCCACTCATTGTAGTGCTGGCCTTGGTTGAGTCTTAGTTTCATTAAAAAAAATTTTTTTTTAAATTGGAGGATATTACTTTACAATATTCTGATGGTTTCTGCCATACCTCAACATGAATCAGTCATGGGTATACATATGACCCCTCCCTCTTAAACCTCCCTTCCACCTCCCTCCCCATCCCACTCTTCTAGGTTGTCACAGAGCATCAGCTTTGGGTTCCCTGTGTCAAAGCAAATTTCCACTGGCCATCTGTGTTACATATGGTAATGTATGTATTTCAGTGTTACTGCTCAAATCATCCCACTTTTGTCTTCCCCCACTGTGTCCTAAAGTCTGTTCTCTATGGCTGCATATCCATTGCTGTCCTATAGATTTTTAAGCCCTTTAAGAGGTCCTGTTTTCGCTTGCTTTCTGGACTCACGTTGCGTATAGAAAGCCCAAATGCCAGTCAGCGAAGAGGTGCCTCCCAAACATGCAGGAGCTGCACCTGCCCATAGGAGGCATCTCAGTGGTGATCCGTAGCTGGCCAGTAAGTCTGCACAGTTTTTAGTTTCTGAGAGAAGCCGATAACCTGCATTTATGTTTGAAACCTCTTGATTTTTAAATGAAGACAATGAACTGTTTAAAAATTAAATATGTTGTAGGGGCCAAGCAAAACACACCTGGGGCTTTTTATAGCCCTCTGGCACTGAGGGCTCCATCTACTGAGCCATCTGTGGCAGTTGGTATCAATTTCAGTTATCAATGAACTACTTCATTCAGTTCTAAAAACATAGACTGAATGCAGTATTCTGCATGCCAGTCACTGAAAGATTGGAAACACAAAGATGAAAAGTGATCATCCTTGTCTTTGCTACAGTAGTTTATAGTTTAGAGCAGTTCTTCTCAAAATATGGTCCCCAGAAGAGTGTTCTCCATGTCACCTGGAAGCTTGTTAGAAATGCAAATTCTTGGGCCCTATTCCAGGTCAACTGAATCAGGATCTGCATTTTAACCAACCTTGCGATCTGTTTCAACAGACCTTCCTGGTGTTTCTAGTGCCTGCCGAAGTGAGAACTACTGGCCTGGGAGGGTAGTGAGGCCTGGGGCAGAGGTCTGTGGAAGGCAGAAGCTGTGCTGGGAGTCAGGGGAACTTTTCAGAAATGAATGGCTCTGGGACTTCCCTGGCAGTCCAGTGGTTAAGACTTTACCTTCAAGGCAGGTTCAATCCCTAGTCAGCAGCTAAGATTCCATATACCTCTGGAAAGCCAAAACACAAAACAATATTGTAACAAATGAAATAAAGACTTTAACGAAAAGAAACAAATGGCTCCAGTTGAATCTTAAAAGATAAGCAGGAGTGAAGCAATGGGGAGGGCTGTCTGGGAGGAGGGGGCAAAGGAGCTGTAGCAAAGAGGACAGAGAGTGTTTGAAATTTGTCCATGTATAGCCTGTGGCTGGGTTCTGAAGGCAGTGCTGGGAGATACAGTGAGCTGAGAATAGGAGGGGCCAGCTGTTCAGTACTTGGCCAGGTAGACTGGATTGTATCTTGCAGAGGTTGGGGCATCATGGAGACCTTGTGGTATTGGGTCTGCATTTAAGAAAGTAATGCTGGGAGCAGGGTTCAGATTCCTTCTGAGTAAAGACAACTCACCTGGCATGTCACTGGCCTAGATCTTGTTTCCTGCCTCTCCTGGAGTGACTTGGATCTGGGTCAGCAATTCCCATCCTCGGATAGAGTGGCAGGGAGGGGAGGAAAAGCCAGGGGAGGGGTGAGGAGGCAGCCAGCGATGCCTGTGAAATTGTGATGGTGTTGTGCCTGCTCCTTCTCTGTCCCTCAGGGAAGACGTGTGCTCTCTAAGCTGAATGTTGTAATGGTCGCCGGTGTTCTCAATGATGGCAGTGGTCTTCATGATCCTACTTTAAAAGTGGCCCATCACTTTCTGCAGCAAATATGTTGGAGTATAACCTTGCTCTCTTTCTTTAGAGATTTATAGTGTCCGAAGAGGAAACGATTTGAACTCAAGCTGGGGAAACTCATGTCTATAGCTAACTAAGTCTTACTACTTTCTCCTGCCCTCCCTTTCTCTCTTTCTCTCTCCATTTCTCTCTCTCTCTCTCTCTTTCTTTTCAAAATGCTGGAGTGTGAGATAGTGGAAGCAGGATGCAATGTCACCTCCCCCTGCTGGTCATTTTGTACAATGCCTTGTTTATAATATATACAGAGTGGAGACAATGGTCCATGGAAATGACAGAAATATAAAATAGCTGAGATTGAACCCATTAATTTAAAAAGTTACGGTAAATTAAAAAAATTCCACCCTTTTGAAAGGGTGAAAGGAATTTTTTGACCCCTTCCATTCTTTGCAAAATGATGTAATACGTTTCTGAAGTAGCTATTTCTTGCATCCTGCACTATAAATTCTCATAGATGAGAATGGTTTTAATGATTACATTAGCAATTTCCTTTATTCTGTCTATGTATTGGGTATTCTTTCCTAAACTAAGATATTGAACAAGTTTTTTCCATTTGATTGCTTTGGGCATTCGTTCAAGTTGATCATACATACTTATAAAACACCCAAGGTTATAGTCTTTATGGGCATTGAAAGTGATATTTAAAGTGAATGAAATTTGTATTTCAGTTTAACCTTTTTTTATACATGATGATGGTGTTCATCAGTATGTGTCCATGCTAAGTTGCTTCAGTCATGTCCAACTCTTTGTGATCTTATGGACTGTAGCCTGCCAGGCTCCTCTGTCCATGGGATAAAGGTTGCCATGCCTTTCTCCAAGGGATCTTCCCGACCCAGGGATTGAACCTATGTCTCCTGCATTTCCTGCATTGGCAGGCGAATTCTTTACCACTAGTACCACCTGGGAAGCTTGTTCATCAGTATAGGGGATAGTAATTATGAACCTATCGAGATGATAGATTATAGAGAGGCTTTTCAGAGGAGAGTGAATGACCTTGCTGAGAAATCTTAGGGGTAAGGTTTTATAGAGAAGCTTTCTGAATAATTTTCTCAATCCTCTTATTTGTTGGCTTCTAAATTTAAATATCCTTCTTAACAAAAACCAACCTTACTGTTTTTTCTGAAATCCCTGCCTTGATTTGCCCCATGGATCAGGAAAATCAGACTGATGGCAGGTGATTGAGGTGCATTTGTGTGTTGAAGGACATCCTACTGAGAGGCAGCTTGAAGCAGAAGGATGTACACTGGCTTGGAAGCCAGGCATGCACACCTCTTACTCTGCCTGCAGGCCAGTTAACTCCCCTAAGCCCAGTAAACTAGGTGCTGTTTAGATTGTCTCCAGCTTAATTCACTGTTTTAATCAAAATGATGAAGACATTGGCTTCATTTAGGCAGTGAGAGCAGCATTAGAAATATAGAGAGGGAGTGAATTTGCTTTTATCCTCTTACAATGACTCTCAAACACAGCTTAATAGTGAATCATCCTGAGGATTAGCTGTAGGTTGGCATTTTCTGTAGACACACGTGCCTTGTACTTAACTGCATCTTCTGTTTTTTTTTTTTTTTTTCCAGTTGCAAATGAAGCTGGAGATAAGACTGCCAGGCCACTTGCCCGCTTCTCCCGTGAGTAAATTTTGTTTCATTCCTCTCCTGGGCTCCTTCAGCGGCTTTTTGCCTCTGTGGTTCACCCTGCCTGGTGTCAGGAAAACACTGCCCATAAAAGAGTAATATAGGAGGTATATTCATGGGCTAATACTGGACTTGAGCCCCGAGGTATATTCATGGGCTAGTACTCCACTTGAGCCCCATCACCAGTGAGTTATTCATTGCTATTGCCTTTTCAGTCTTTGGAATTGTGGTTTATCAAATTGTGCTCTAGGGCTTTGCAGTGCTAAGTGTGGTCCTAGGAGCAGCAGAACTGACATCACCTGATGACTTTTTCAGAAATGCAGGGTCCCAGGCTCCCCTAGACCTCCTGAATTAGAACCTACATTTCAGCAAATCCCCAAATTCCTGTGCACGTTTGAATTTGAAAAGCACTGCACTGGAGGGTCCGTGAGTGTCCTGCCGTGGGGTGAGACTCATTTCTGAAGAATGAGTACAGAGTCTGTGAGGTGCTTGTAGTTGTCACGGTCCATAGAAGTGTGGAAGCATCATCACCTCCCAATGTGGACTTAAGGCCTAGCCCTACTGGCTTTGCCTCAGTTCACTGACATTTTGAAGCTCAGATGCAATCCATGACTGCTTCTCCTTTGGCACTGGAATATTTGTAAGGGTCTGGGAGCTCCCCATGAATTTCACTTGACTCCTGTCTCCAGGTCTTGATCCCAATGGATGAGCAAGAGTCAAAAGCCTCTCGGTGTTTCCTGTGCCAGAGTGATCAGCAAATTACACAGCAAGTTAATGCATCCCTGGATGAAAACCGAGATTCCTTGGAGTGGAAATACCAAGGGAGATTGAGTAGGGTTGAGGGGAGAAGCTCCCTAAATGCATGGAGCATCCAGTGGAGAAATAGTGGAACCGTGAATCAGAATAGATGGATTTTTGTTCCAGCACCATCACTGCTTGCTGGCTTTCATTTAAAGTAATTTAACTGATACTTCCTGGGCCTTAGCTTTCCCATCTGAAAAATAGGACATTCATACCCACCTTCTCTCCCTTATAAAAAAGTTGCCGTCTTTTGAAATGACGCTTTGAGAGGGGTTACACAAATTCTGAGTTACTGTGTTGTTCACAAAGGTTGACCAAGTCTTGAGTGTGAATTCTGCCACAGTAAGCCTTAATACCTAGAGGCGCAAAAGTATCGTTTCTCTTTTGTTAGGGCTTCCTCTAAACTCTGCCTTCTAGCTCTTTTGTGGCAGGGGGTTGGGAGCTTCAAAAATTTGGGATTGATTCCTAAAAATGATTTTTGTAGAACTGTAATAATATATGATAATGAAAGAGCATTAAGTGCTTACATTTTAGAAACTGTGTAATAAAATAGTTGCTTCTCACAGGCCCTGTTTTTCACTGCTCTCCTACTTGGAATCATTATTTCCAAATAACTATATCATCCCACAGCTCAGTGAGGGTGATGAATATGCTTTTAGTCCCTTTATTTCTTCATCTCCTGAGCAGTAGTCAGGCAAATTAAGAAGCTGGAGCAGTAATGTGACCACTCAGTGCAGGCTGCATCCCCTCGGGAGCTCCTGCTGTTCTGATGCTCCTCACGAGGTTAGGAAGGGATGGAGCCCTTTAACCATGAGGCTGGAATGAAACCTGGAGCAGTTAGGCCCTTCACAGAGAGAAGAGGGTACCTCCTCTTGTAAATGGCTTCCACATTTTCTAAATTGTGAGACTGGGTTGGAGGGATGGTGCGTCACTTGAAAACTTATTTGTAGGAGCTGAGTGACAAGATGAGGAAAAATAATTTCCATACAGGAAAAAAGTAGATAGTGGCAAACCAGTTAAGCTGGGCTAATTCTGAAAAGAAAAAAAAATCTCCTGACTTAGTCCTATGTCCTGGGAAAAAGTCAGATAGCACGTTATCTACTAAATCTTTCTGTAGCAAGTCCTAGAGGGGGAAAATAAATAGGTGACTTTTAAGAAGGAAAAAAAAAATCCTCAATGTAGCATTGTCTGGTTGTCACTCACTTCACTTTACCACATTGAAAAGGACCTCTTTTGAAGTGTTCAGTTTGGGAAGACTGGAAGGATTTGAATGATAGCCTTTCCTTTTGAGACCAGAAGGTGAAGCACTCTAGCATTCTCTAACGTTCACACCTCACAAGACACGTGAAAGTCCTGAAAGTGCCCACGCCCAGCACAGAATTAGGAGAGACAAGAAAACAGGCAGGTAGGGTTGTGAAAACTGGACCCTGTTGTGCAGAAAATGCCTGGAGTGGGGAGGAAGAGGCTGGGCCACTGGCTTCCGTAGTAGTCCTGAGGTTTTCCTTCCCTTTGGGGTTCTTCCGTTCTCATCCCGGATGCCTCTGCAGCATGTTCATTTCTCTGTAGATTTTGCTGCCGCTTGAATCCGTATACTTTTCTTGGCTTCCCCTTATTGCGTGGAGATGAACTCTGATGATTATAGTAAGGAATCCTAAAGGAGAACCGGAGGTAAACAGAGTATAGAACCATGAAAACATCTGGCTTTTCCAAGGGCTGGCTTCCCATCCTGCCTTGGCGATCTGATTTACCAGTCTCGCAGGCTCCTCTGGTCCACTTACGAACAGAATCACTTGCACAGTATAGCCCAGTGCTTGGGTTTCTTCTCTGTGTGACTGAAACCACCGCCCAGAACACCATGCTTTCCTCAAAGAAGTTGATTCCCAAACCCATGGGTCAAGCTTACTTCCTATGACATTTAGACTGGAGACACTTGCTGTGCCCTGAGGTGGTGGGGTGCCAGGAAGTGAGTCCTCCGAAACTCTGGATACTGTCAGTCCCTTTGCTACCCCTGTCCTCATCATTTTAGGCTTAGCAGTGGCTTTTGATTAACCTGACCTTAATCAGAGCATCTGTCTAACAACAATGGGTACAGTGAGTAACAAGGAAGTCATCCCCGTGGGAGCAGGGTGGGAAAGGAGCAGGAGGGAGTGGGGAGTGGGATTCAAAGGAAGTAGGGAATATTATCTTCCCCTCAGAAACCTGCAGAAAGATGAGGGTGTCCAGGAAAATGAGGAGTTGAGAGTGACCCTGACTTTCAGGCACTGCTTGAACCCAAAGTACATTGGCTTTGGGTCAACAGATGGTTTAGAATGGCTCTCACCATGAGGCTAGCTATCCTGGGGCTGGAGCCCCTGTGCGTGGGGACCACCCCTCTCTCTGCAATGGTTGGGGTGAGCACTGCACACGAAGCTCTCTGACAGGCAGGGCTAACGTTAGCTACACAGTCTCCAGTTTTATAAATGAGAACAAGGAGGCTGGGAGGAAGGATAGAGAATTACTCACTGCTGGAATTCTAGGTCTTTCAACTCCGAATCTTGGCTATTCCCAGTGCACATTACTTCCTCCTTGGTCTCAGGGGTTGGAGTTTGCTGATTCTGGGACATGGGAATTGGGGGTCTTCTAGCTTAATGGTGGAGGTGCTAAAGCTTTATCACAGGGCAGGCTTCAGAGATCCAAGTGGCTGTGACCTCGACTGCAGTTGGTTTTATCCGGGGTGGGAAGACTTTTCCTCCACCATCCCCTTCCACCAACTTACTTGTATCAGGAATCACCTAAAATAAAGGAAAAACTTGATATGCAAATCCCCTTGGGAGTGCAAACACAGGGGGTTCATTCTTACTATGATGGAAATGGTTGGTTGATAGCAGATTTAGCCATTGTTTTCCCCAGATACCTGAAAGTGTTTTCTCAGTGGGTAAAGAAAGGGAGGGGACAAAGGGATTGCTTCATTTAATTGTTCACTTGGTCATTCATTTAGATACTCATTCAAATAGTTACTGAACATAATCGTGGGCCTGGCCCTGTGCTATATGCCAAGGACACAAATTTTGATTAAAGCAAGATCCCTGTTATTAAAGAGCTCACAGTCTAATCAGGGAATTGGAGAAATAAGGGGCTCCAATGCAGTGTGTGTAGGGAAATGCTGGAGGTTGGTACAGAAGCTATGGGAGCCTGATGCTGTAGACCTCATCTGGCTGGGGGTGTAGGTGGATTCAGGGGAGCCCTCCTGGAGGGGACAGGCAATCCCTGAGGCTTGGGGAGGCTTGGGGTTAACAGGTAAGGAAGGTAATTTACGTTCCTTCAAAAAAAAAAAAAAAAGCAACACCACTTTTCAAGGAGTAAAGGCCATGTGTAGTGTTCAGACATGGCCACAGTGTGGCAGGAAAAGTCCAGATTTTGGTGTCCATCTCTATGCCAGGAACAGAGTAGGCCAGTGCAGTGGCCAGAGCACTTTTTGTGAAAGGAGCATGTGGCATTGGAAGAGACTGTGTGGCGGGAGGGGTTGGCCCCAGAGCTTGTGTATCTGGGCAGCTCCATTCTGGAGTTTTGATTGCTTCCCTAGCTGAGGGGCAAATCATTTCTCCCCTGAGATTAGCGATGGTTGAAAAGAAAATAGTGGTGTCCAAAGCAATAAGAAAATGGAGCCTAATTAGTAATGCCTACAAATGTAGCTTCTCTTGCTTTGGGAGGTAATCATCCGGATGGTGTTGAAAATAGATTATTCTATAAAGGAACTGGAGTAGTTTCTGTGGATGGATGATAGAGCAAAGAGAGGTTGCCTGGTATTTTTGTCCTGGGTGTTTGATTGGGTGAATGGTCCCCTTTCCTGGGCAGAGATGGGCATGGGCAGGCAGGGGTGGACAGCTAGGCTAGGTGCCGGGTGAGCCTAGTACTTATTACGTGATGTCCATGGTGGAGCCCAGGGCAAGTTCAGATAATGTCAGTACTTGAGTCTACTTAGAGATCCTTTCTAAATTGATGGTCATGGCGAGGAGGGTTTGTTGCAGGCACTGGGAGCTTGAGTTGACAGTGTATGGGTTACACAACCAGGATGATGAGAGCAAGGATAGGATAAAATGGGTAGGAGAAAGGGCTGAGTACTGTCACAAGTGGTGGTGAGCTGTGACTTTTGGCTGGGCATTCAGTGTTATCAGCAGTGTGTTCTGTGGATGATGTACAGTCATAAAAAGGGC